GATTTGGACCAAACTTGGTCAGTGGATAGTACGTAACGTCCTGATTACGATGCACCCAAAATCTAAGCTCGGCCCGCCATATTTACGAAGTTACGGATGTTTCAATTTCAAGGTCATTCGGGAGAGCCTCTACGATTTCCGTCAAAATTTGTGTACAGACACTCTAGGTGCTCCTCATTACGAATTTAACAAAATTTAAGCTCGGCCCGCCATATTTACGAAGTTACGGATGTTTCAATTTCAAGGTCATTCGGGAGAGCCCCTACGATTTCCGTCAAAATTTGTGTGCGGACACTCTAGATGCTCCTCATTACGAATATCACAAAATTTAAGCTCGGCCCGCCATATTTACGAAGTTACGGAGTCACAAAGTTACGGAATTTCAAGGTCATTGGGAGAGCCCCTCCAATTTTCGTCAAAATTTGTATGCGGTCATGCGGACACATTACATGCGGACACATTACATGCTCCTCATTACGAATATCGTAAAAGCTAAGCTCGGCCCGCACTATTTCAAAAGTTACTGAGGTTTGAAACTCACTGAAATTCAAACATCTGTAACTTTTGAAATAGTGCGGGCCGAGCTTAGCTTTTACGATATTCGTAATGAGGAGCATGTAATGTGTCCGCATACAAATTTTGACGAAAATCGGAGGGGCTCTCCCAATGACCTTGAAATTCCGTAACTTTGTGACTCCGTAACTTCGTAAATATGGCGGGCCGAGCTTAAATTTTGCGACATTCGTAATGAGGAGCATCTAGAGTGTACGCACACAAATTTTGACGGAAATCGTAGGGGCTCTCCCGAATGACCTTGAAATCGAAAAACATCCGTAACTTCGTAAATATGGCGGGCCGAGCTTAAATTTTGTGATATTCGTAATGAGGAGCACCTAGAGTGTCCGTACACAAATTTTGACGGAAATCGTATAGGGCTCTCCCGAATGACCTTGAAATTGAATCATCCGTAACTTCGTAAATATGGCGGGCCGAGCTTAGATTTTGGGTGCATCGTAATCAGGACGTTACGTACTATCCACTGACCAAGTTTGGTCCAGATCGTAGGGGCTCGCCTGATTCCGAATCTTAGATTATAGATTAGGATTCACTTACATCTAACTTGACGACCGTATAGACGGACCACTGCTGATGGGGCCACACATGTCGGCGTGTGGTCATCGGAGGTCCATGAGGGCTCGATATAGGCCCTTCATGGGTCGGTATAGGCCCGGTGGGTCCAGTGCAAGCCTATCAGGGGCCGGTGCTGACCCAACAGGGCCCAGTGGCATATAATGTAAGGCTGTCTAGGGACGTTGAGGGCTCATGGGATTGGGGGCCATATAGGACCAATAGGGACCACATCAGTCAATCAGGGGCCATTTAGGCCAATAAAGGCACTTCAGGGGACTTGAAAAGGTCATTCAAGAGCTGTGGTGGGCCCATGAGGGGACGGCATTGGTCCAGCAGGTGCAGTCAGGGATGTTGTACGGGTTTCTCAGTGGCCCATTTGGGCATATCAGTGACCAATTTGGACCCAGCAGGGGGCTTTGTAGACCTATCAGGGGCTGGTGATGGTTCATCAGGGCCCAGCGTTAGTCCATCGGGGCACGGCATATGCCCATCAGAGGTAATTGCGAGCCCACGCTGAACAATGATGGCCCTTCAACGGCCCCTAATGGATCTACATTGACCTATGGGCCATGATGTGTCATGTATGCCCCTATGACAGGCCTACTCAGACCCCTGATGGACATTCCCGGCCTCTGATGACCCTATACTGAATGCTGATGGGGCTCTAAGTTTCTCCAATAACCCTTCGTCAACCCATTATTACCATACGCTGGCACTAGGGGCCCCACATCAGCCGCAGGGCAGTCCGTGCCATGACAGCATGTCTTTTCGGCCGATATTACATCGGTAATATTTATTAAAATCATGATTTTATGGTGTCATTATATAGCTAACAGTCATAAGAAATATATTTCATCTCGAAAACAGCTCCAAACAGCATATAATTTTAAAGAAACTCCTCCGAAATCCAAAAGCCTATTCGGGTCCATAGAGAATAACTGCGGTCCCCCGCAATTTCGTCACGAGCGTCGGACCAATCAGCGTCGAGTACTGCCGAGCGCTGATTGGTGAATTTTCCGCTAGCGCGTAAGTACTGCTCGCGGAACAAGAGTTCGTCGACAATCCTCCACAAACGTCTGTCACCATTTTTCGTAATGCTAAACAGCCGGAGCGTACCCCCCTGCGCTCGCCTGACTCAGTCTCGGCTGCTTACGATATCGTGACAAGTAATTCACGTGACCTTGGAGAGGTCACGGAGGCGGGTCGATGGCCGGCAGTTGGCACATTCTTGTTGGCCAGCCCATTCTTTCTACATATGTTGTACAATGCATTGTTGTCGAAAGGAATTAAGTGAAATGACCCCCTGCCAATTTCCTTTGGTAAATTTCTGGCAATGCCCGGTAATTCCTTGAACTTTGCAGGGTGCACGGAAGTACCCCACCCCTTGCACGAATGTGCCCCATACATGGGGCAGTTTCGTGCAAACGTTCAGAGTTATTAAAAGTCATTTTTTCTAATAGAAGCGATAACTTTAGAGGATAACTTTTAAAGAGGAAAAATATCTGCAATAGTTCCTTTCCATACTACAATCAACAATTTTGCCATTGCACTATCCGACGAACAGATATATGGATTTATCCATTTTTTTGCACGAATGTGCCCCACTCTCCCCTACTTCTGTTATTCTGTAAAATACCAGTCCCGTGAGATCACAGATCGTGCTTATACTTCCAGATGATTGATTTGTGACAAGGGAACGATTTTTGCCGGGTGCATTTGTTGACTGGTATCAAAGTAGGTATTGGCACTACACATTGTCGTCTTGCCTTTGAACTAAACATACAGATTATCTCGAGACCAATAGATATTAGACGTACACCTACCTATGTCGATGCAGAAAAGAAATGCATAGGTTTGACACCCCAGATTACGCGTAGGGGAGAGCGGGGCCAGTTGAACCACTTTTTATATGTTGACATGCACAGCGAGCTCTAGTTGTCATATCGAAAAATGCACAATACCATGAAAAAATATGCTCTTTTGGCTTTATTTTAAGATATGTAAAATTATGTTTCAAACATATTTTGCTGCCAAACGCATGCTTATAAAACAGCTCTACGCCCGTTTCAAATGACCCCGATGCGAGGGTCAATTGAACCAGCCCATGGGGTCAGTTGCACCTATCCTTAACAATGGGATGTTTTCCTCTTTAAGGCAACTTTCTTAAGGAGATATTTTGTCCGGTTTACTTTTCCAAATGCTACATTCAATAGGTCGTTGGAAAGCTAAAAGTGCAAAGTTCCTCATAATAGGTGACATAAAGTACATAGACTATGGTAAAATGGGCGGATGAGGAAAATGAGAAATATCTCAGGCTATAGAGTGCTTTCAAGCAAAAGGCTGGAGAAAAAGGGGTCACAAATTGAGCTCTATTAAACTACTATTTCAGTTTAAAAGCTCATTTCAAAGGTGGACTATTTCCTTTAATGTTTACAGCCCCTGAACAATAACCATTGCAAAGGTCACCGGGGTCCATTGAAACGGATTGTGGCCCTGTTTCAACTGACCCTCAGAGAAGCGTTTCAATTGACCCCATCCGCTCCCGCCACCTCGCACGCGCCGTAAAGCACATGTCAAACGAGCTGGAGGGACGGCATCATGCTGAATGAAGGGCCAAATAAGGTGTTATTCCGGAGCCAGGAGTTCTTCTTTCAGCAAACAAAGGTATATGAGATATCACAAAATATTCATAAAAACGATTTCTCCCAAACGTCCCTCAAAAACACAAAAACAAGTGTCAACTCAAAATTACCGTCCGTTTGCCGCCCAAACGCCGTTGACAAAGGAAGTGGTCGAGCGCGGATGCGCAGTGGTGTCGGCAACGCCATATGTTGCATACTGTTGAAAATAAAGCCATGTTTCATCTGACCCCGTGTTTCAACTGGCCCCGCTCTCCCCTACCTATCAATCCACGATAAGAAAACTGAAAAACTTTCGGCCGATTCGACCAGAGGTTCGTTAAGTTCTTTTTCATAAGCATTCCTAGTGCCCCATGTCCTCGTTATCATTCTGTGATGCCATCATTGCCTCGAGGATCTCGGACGGAATTCTGCGGCACGCTCAGTGTCGTTAAATTTGGACGGTTTGCGGTCAGCGCTCACATTGTTGAATGATTTAGGTCTTCTTCGGTATAGTCTGGATGACGTATCATTGTTGTCAATGCATTGTCACCGAAATAAAAAAACGCATTTTTTAGAGACTGCATTAGTTTTCTATTGAAAATGGAAAACGTTCTGCTATCATGCAGGATGTAACTAATGTGTAGGTAAGATTCTCCAATAGGCAATAATTCAGCAAGAATTAATGAGCGAAGAAAAACAATGAGTTAGGTAGGGCATTTGTGTGACTTAGCCCTGCAAAGTAAGTAGGTACCTATATCAAAACTTGACGATTGACTGCGGCAAATAACTAAAAATGCACCTTGTCAGGGCTCGAAATAGTTACCTACCTAAGTGCAATCGCATGTCTTTGACATATCAGTGAGATTGAAATTGGTTGTGTGTCCACTTTCATCAAGACCGTCAGTTCAGGTCAAAGGTCAAGGTTCATCCGCGGTATTGGCAAACGACGGCATCTGACGCCAATGGTCGAGTTTAAGGCCAACGGAAACAGCACCTGATAGCACAAGTCAATTCGCAACGATGTTGATGTGCACTCTAAACGACAGTGTTATGACTGTTATCCTCTTTGAAGTTACCAGAAAGGACGCAGTAAACACATACATAATGCTTTTTATTCCCTCCGAAAAGCGGGGCAGCCTGGATCTTTTGATATCGACGAATCCCCGTGCGATAACAGCCCGAACTAGTCCACACCACGCCCGTCTCCCGCCCCTAGCGTGCCGTGCCCCGGCGGGCGGCGGCTCTTACTTGAGCTTGCTGAAGCAGATGGACGTGTCCGTGGTGGTGACCATCTTGGGGATGACGCCGGCTTGTTTGAACCACTTGTCGGCGTTGGAGAGGGTGATGCCGGCCGTCTGGGGCGTGGCCTGTTGGTGCGTGAGGCCGAACACGCTGAACTTTTTGAACTGGGAGCCCAGTGTGGGCTGCTCGCCGGCTGACTCAGACATGGCAGCTGCTGCTGCTGGGGGAGCCGGGGAGCACAACTGGCGGACGGTGTGGACAGTAGTGTGGATGGTAATGTGGACTCTGGGTGTGAAGGCAGACGAATTACTGGGCGGACGGAGGCCACTGACGCCGAACCTGCAGTTGATCGCTGACCACCACAGCCCTCCACTGTCCCGAGTGCGACCTCCTCACCACTGCACCTCGCCTCTCGCACCCCGCCCGGTCAGAGCTCCCGGATCGAACGGGCCCGACTCACAACTGCCGGACGCTGCGCCTCGGACCTGCGCCGGTGGCGGCGGACGGAGGGGGGGGGGGGGGTGCGGCGATAGCTACCCGCCCCCCGCCGGCCGCCCGCGGTGACTTCACTCCCCAGCACCACCGAAATGCCGCGCTGACGTGGCCCGGGTGCGGGGAGATGTCGTTACGGCGGTATTTTGTTAGCGTGTCTAGCCGCCGGAGTGGTTTGTCCATGGTGTCTGGCGATGGGGGCGGGGAGAGGGGGAGCGCGGGGGCGGTAACTTTGCCAACTGGCTCGGGTGGGCGTGGCTGCAGCGCTGGAGCTGTGGAGTGTGACAATTTTGTAGCATGCGTTGAACTTAACGTCCCATGTAGGTGGTGTGGGCAAAGGTGTAGGAAATACGACGGAAGCGTTTCTTTACTCAATGTCCATGTCAACGCAATGTGAGCGCTGTGCAGGCAGCTTCAGTTACGCACCTGGGTATCGCACCAGGCCCTTATTTCCGGCCATTTTCAAATGACGGGTGACATTGACTTCCACGCTTACAGCATCAAATTGGCAGGCATGCATTATTCATGCAGTAAATCGCTGTAATTGAAGGGAATAAATTTTACATAGAAGGTCCGGGTCGCAGTGAAAAGGGAGATTAATGGCAATCGCCGTCGTCGTAAAATAAGCAACAAACACAGTTATCCAATGCCTTTCAGTTTTCACAGTTAACTCGCTGTCCCAATGCCAGTGACTGTCATTTTCTTTCGACGCCGCTCAGGAGTTTGCTACGTAGTTTCGAGTGCCTATTCATCTTCTATTAAATACCCTGCGAGGGAGAGGGACATCAGCCAAAATATTAGGCTCTGTTGTTCCCGTGTTTGGTACTTGACTCACGGTCTATCAATTTTGCATCCCAATCTCATCTGCAGTGAATCTCCCCGGCTCACCTATTCTCGGCCCATGCAGACACCGTATGGCCACTGGTGCGTTAGGCCGTGGTTCCGGTAATTCACATAGCGCAATGATAGCGCAATCATTTTCCGTCCGAGCGCACAGCGAGCGTCGGTAGTGTTCAGCACTATGTCGCAATGCCACTGCAATGGAGCGGGCCAGCTCAGTATGCCTGGGAGACTGCCGTTTATCGCTCTGGTTGGGTTGAGGATTCAGACTTCAAAGTCGCACGATGAATAAGGAGAATGCACGGCAACAACTTATTTGTTTCAAGACAGAAAAAAGAATAAGAACTGAATGTCAACTTAGGCCATCAAACAGTTGTAACCATCTTGTTATTATACCTTCGTTTGACTAGAGAAATAAACAGACAACAGAAGCAGGTGCAGGAAAGGAATGTTTATTTTTGCCCACGACTTCCTCGGGACGCGCCCCTCAGTCGTCACGTTTATTTACCGTCCGTCCTTGTTTTGCAATGAGCTGTCGATTTCGTCCGGAGTGCCTACAGGCTACAGCATGAATGAGCCGCTACGCATGTCTATCTAATCGGAAAATCAGTCGGATAAGGTCTTAGAAGAATATATTTTTGCGTTACAATATATAATGACGAGAAAAAAGCAGAAACAGAGCATTGAGCGATTCTAAAGTCCCAAACGTATCGGATTATACACATTGGTTCAACGCACCCAAAAGTACCTATCCATGCAACCTGAGTACTTTATTATGAAACGTTCTCATTCACGTACAGTCCACAGCAGAAGTAATGTGTGGTTTCAGTCATGGGTATGTTCTGCTTCTGAAGCTTAGGAACGATTAGCCAGACTACAATGAAACTTTGAATGTAGCTTATATGTATCGTCACCCTTGCAGCTGCAACTTTATCTATTGACATCTTCTTTTCGATCACTCCGCAGTAAACAATCGCCAGTCAAAGCCAACCGTTGAGATTGGTAAAACCCTACATTACTTTAGCGGTGGGCTGTACTTGTACCACTTATCACCTACAAAAACGCACAAATAACAATGAAAATACAAACGGTTAGTTCACCGTACTGCAGAGATCACGGCGCACAGCCGCCCTATCAAAACAAAACATCACTCGTAGTCACACTATCACATGCTGGCACATCACAGCGTTTTGCACATTTTGTACATTACGGACCGACGTGGGACCACGTCAGGCATATGAAAACCTCAGCTCACCACAGTCTGCCACTCCTGCAGATGCAGATACCATGACAACAGCACGTCACGGTGAGCCCCGCCGCAGTGCCGGAGGCAGGACCATGACGTCAGCGGGCGTCAGATAGAAACGGCCTTCCGCTGCCGGTGGTCGCCGGCGTGACATGGCGATAACGCTCTACCGACGCGTCGGTACGTATACCGTCCAGATCGACTATCAGTCCGGAATATCACGACTCCTGGCAACATGGCCCATTCGCAGTGCAGGCAGTAGCTCTGGCCACCGGATGCCAAACGATAATGCACGGTGGAGAGAAGTGATTTCATACCTGGCGGGTGACGTCACTGCACCGCAGAGGTCTTCGGTTCCGGGTGGTGCAGGTAAAGTTACCGAACCTCAGGGGTCGCCGCCGCCGACACGGCTTCTACGTCCACCTGTAGAAGGAGAAGAACAGACGACTTCAGTAAACGGAACAACGAGAGAACAGTCAGCTAAATCAGTGAACGGAGCATGGAGAGAACAGCCAGCTTCAGTCATCGGAACAAAGAACAGGAAACGGAACATCGAGCGAAATTACAAATAAGCTTATATTTAATGGCCCTGTCTCAATGAACAGTTTCAGAACTTCGGCCCATGAGCAGCGCAAATCATTTCCGTTCAAACGGAACGATGAATCACCCACAGCTCAAGCCCTCTCACAACACAACATAAGGCCATGATAAGGCGTCCGGTCATGCAAAAGATGACACTTAATTCAGAGCGGAATTCCGCGACTATCAGTGGCCACACTAGCACGCTGCAGATAAGAAATCCCGATCCGAACCCAACTCCGTCGCTATTGTAAATAAGCCAGCCCCGTGCAGCGGTACTCCAGCGGATCCCACTCGGTCACGGGGGTAATCACTCTCCACGGACGGCTGGCTCGCACGAACACACGGAGTCAAGGCCGGGCGGCCCGGCGGCTAATTGCGTTACCCGACCGATGGGGCCGCCTCGCCGAGTTATAGGTACGGCCTGCGCGCTGGGGTCATTTGGGACCACTTAAAGCCCTTAGAGCTCGCCATAGTTGGAGCAAGCGGAAGGTCATAAGGTGGATTAGGCCGTCTGTGGTTTCAACCAACCAACACGCGCGGAAAAATCGGTCACATATTGCCCGTTTACACCCCAGTATGAACTGTGCTACCCTAGTTCAGTGTGTGGCCAGGTCAGGTTGCTATTCGTTTCCTGAGAACCATGTCGCTTGTGGTTGGAGAGTATCTGAGCGAGCACCATTTGTAAGGTGAGTTGTCTCAAATATGCCAAGAAAAAGAAAAGGACATAAGATAACCAGCAACGCATACAAACAACTTGGCGACTGCGGCACCGATTGCCGATCGGTTTTTACTTACCGGTGGCTCTATCTTATCTGCATCGTATGCAATAAATGCCACCCCAAATGGTAAAGGTACGGATTTTACAGCGAGCCGGAGGCGCGTGATCGGGGTAAGGAGACCCGCCTGCCGTGCCGACTTCCCCTGCATCTGCACGTTTCATGCCTACCCCATGACAACACATACCCACATCATTTATATGTCTGGTACCTGTTTCCAAGCCTCTGCTCACCCTGCATTCAGGACTGGGTCATTCGATGTTAACTGCTCGGCGTTTGTCTTCCAACCCTCCTGTACTATTAGTAAAGTAATCTTGGGGCTGTATCTACCCCTAAAACCTGACTGCCGGGACAAATCTTGTCCGTTATCCTGTAAATACCTGTCCTTGAGCCCAATCAACCTTACCAAGACTGACCCGTGTTATGAGAACTATTCGTTGCCTGTTCCTGAGACACGTCCTTACCCTACAGGATAAAGTACCTCAACTGTCCCGTACCTATCCGCAGACCTCACCTCCTCATGGCTGCTCGGGTTGTCGGGACTGGCCGCGGCCGGGCCAGTGACTGTCCTATGCCCGTCCCTAAACTCACCTCCTCATGGCTGCTCGGGTTGTCGGGACTGGCCGCCGCGACCGGGCCCACGCCGAGCGCCTTTCGCACCGCTCCCGTCGCCGCCACGTCCCCCGGCGGGTTCTGACGTACCATCCATGTCAGGCTGCTGGCCAGCGCCTCGGCTGCGGGGGTAGACGGGTAAGGTGATTAGCAGTCTCATATCGGGATAGGACAAACAGCTGCAGAACTTCAGAGATTTGAGGTTGGTCGTTGAGAATGGTGTCGGAAGGAGTTATTCCGATTTCCGAGCATAAAGTCAAGTCTTAACGAGGTGAAAGTCATGGGAAGCGGGCCGTGGGAGGTTCAGAAGACCACGTCAGGGGAGCGTGGGCGATTAGACGCCAGAGATATGAAGTACGAAATCGCAGGTAAGGGCTTGATGTGGGATTTAGATACTCTGGCCAACTACGGTATAGGCAATATCTCGTACTGACATCAAAGATGAGCAAAATGGGCATCGTGAGTGGAATATTACGAATAACGCAATGAATCATGAGCGATACGGGATCGAGCGTGCTCCTTCGCATCAAAAGACAAGAAAGGCACGGTTTTCAACAACGCAAACGTATACCATTTTCTGCCTTTCTGACGTTGCATCTACCTTGATACACATGTTCTGCGATATTTCCTTGACTCAAAACTATTGCAAACAATGCTGCTAAACACTGTAAACAATGGCAACCATAGCACCATATTAAGGCAACTCAATTACCTCGGCTGCATTCATCTGACGGATTTTAGATTATTATAATCCTGTATCATTGACTGACATCACCACCCAAACTAACATGACCGAAATAACCTAACCTAACACCCCCTCCACACCAACACACAGACTGCCAGCCGCGCGCACCTACCTAGCTCAGTCTCCTTCTGTGAGGGCGCCGCCGGTCCGGACTCGGGCGCCCGGCTGAGGCGGCGTCTTTGCATCTCACTGAGCGAGACGAGCATCTCGGAGGTATGCTGGAGCCGCGCCTGGGCGTCCTTGTACCGGCGCTCCTCCTCCTCTGTCGGGCGGACGGGGTAGGGGGATGGGGGTTGGCGGCGAACGGTGGGGTTATGGATTTTAGGGCGTCCGTCGGGGGTGGGGGCGGCGAGGTGAAGGCTTGGGGCGTCCCGGCGACACGGAGTACAATGGGGAGGGCGACAGGACGCCGAGGCCGACTTGCGACTTTCAGGGCAAGTGAAACAGAAAGGAAGTGATAATTAATCGACGCTTGACTGTGTGAATCGTGAACGGTAGCAGCTAGGTTAAATGACTGGTAACATAGATTTATAGCGATGACACAAAACGTTTTGCTGACAAAAAAAAAAAGACAGCACAGCAGGTTCAATTCGTTTGCCGGCTATACTTCAAAAACAAATGGTACAAACGGTAAATCAAGTGAATCAGGTCCGAAAAGCTCTCTGGGCCACAAAGATATCATTCCGTCTCTCCCCCAACAGCCCAACCTCTCCCAGCCCCTGTCCCTCCGTTCTCACCGATGGCGTCCACGAATCTCACGTCGATGCCGAGCTCTGACAGCGAGCGCAGTGCAGCCACGTCGACCGGCGGACCGGGCGGCGCCGCCAGCGTCGGCACGGCCGTGGCCAGCGCAAAGTTGACGGCGCGCTCCTCGCCGGCCACGTGGCGCAACTGGTCGATTCGGTAGCGGGCGTGCCGGTGCCGGCCCTCCGTCAGGATGTCAAGCAGGTTATCCACCATCTGTGTGGCCAGCTGACAGCCCTCGGTGAACTGGCGCACACTGCCGACGGAGGGGGGGGGGGGGGGTCAGACGTCATATGTGGGGAAGGTGGCGTGGAGTAGTGGAAAAGGGAAAACATGGACAGGGAATTGGCATATTGCCCTAACTCATCCCATGGGCCATTAGTCATAAAGCACAAATGTGATGAGAAAAATACATCTCACTAAACGGCGGCATCAAAATCTCGATTTCACCAGTCCATGGCTTTCCATCCCCTTCTCCAGCCAGGCGCTGTTCAGTGTTCACCTCTGGTCTTACTGCTGCGCCGTCCACTCCCCCCCCCCCCGTTCCCTGTCGGGCTCCGCAGCTGCTCACCTCCGGGCGTACTGCTGCGCCGTCTCGCCGCCGTAGGTCTGTGTCAGCAGCCAGCCCCTCCCTCCCCGCCGCTGCTCACTGCTCACCTCTGGGCGTACTGCTGCGCCGTCTCGCCGCCGTAGGTCTGTGCCAGCAGCCCCCCCCCCCTCCCTCCCTTCCCCGCCGCTGCTCACTGCTCACCTCTGTGCGTACTGCTGCGCCGTCTCACCGCCGTAGGTCTGTGCGAGCAGTTCCGACTCCTCCTTGGAGATGGTGGCCGAGCCAGAGTCGTACCAGGGCCCGAACGAGCCGTAGGCGCCATGATTGACCGGCCTCACTGCAGGAGCGAGCGGGAGATGGGTCAATAGACAGCGGACATTAGAACATTATACCCCTATAGCAATTGGGCATCATCACCGCTATGCATTCTAGGCTTAGGGTGAGTGCATGTCCAGTGTAATTTACGAAACACGGATAAAATGGAAAACTAAATCGTTGAACATTTCGTACCAAGATCGTCACGGTCAGCTGTGGCATCCATTAAAGCTACCAAACAGGTTTGGCGCGGTTCCTGCGGTAAGGACAGGAAATAACCGGCTTAGGGCACGGTTCTAGCGGTGGGACGACTATTAGATTTGGCGCGATTCCTGTGCTCGGTGCGGGGACCAGCCGGGCTTGGCGCGGTTCCTGCGGTAGGGACGGTGTACGTACCGGGTTTGGCGCGGTTAATGCGGTACGAACGGTGCACGTACCAGGTCTGGCGCGACTCCTGCGGCAGGGAACGGTATACCTACCAAGTCTAGCGCAGTTCCTGTGTTAGGGATAGTGTACGTACCAGGTTTGGCGCGGTTTCTGCGGCAGGGACGGTGTACGTACCGGGTTTGGCGCGATTTCTGCGGAAGGGACGGTGTACGTACCAGGGCCTCGGCTAAGGAATTTTGACTGGTGGGCCACTTGGGTAGCGACATGGACTGACCTTCGTAGCCATAGCCCTCCCCCCCCCCTCCAATTTTCGATTTCTCCCCAGATTTCGGCCACTTTATTCTGCAAAAAAAAAAACGTCAGGATGGCATTTAAAAAAATGTAAAAAACTGGCTCGACCCCCCCCCCCCCCCGACTGTTCAGAGAGAGCCGAGAGGAGAGAGCAGGGACCCACAACCCTCTCAGTGGTGATACTCCGGCGGTGCACATAAAATCGCATAAGTATGCACAAAATATTGACGCATATTATAAAACTCTGGACGATAAATTACGGCCGGTCGGATGTTAAAAATCAGCGAGCCCTGAGTGGATCGCTCGCCGACTAGTCGGAGATTCGGAAGCGGTCGGACGGGATCGGGCGTTGTCGGGTGGATCGGGAGGAATTGTGAACAGCACGAGTGCAACTTTATATATAAAGTGGGTTGTAGCAGGAACCCCAAAAGGGGGTTGTAGCAGCAACCCCAACATCTCTGAAAATGATCATTAAGCCTATTGCGTGTCGCATGGAAAAGAATTCACTCAAAAGCCCTAAATATTTTCTTTAAAAAAAGTTATGTACATTTGTGGTGAACAGTGTCCCAAACTACAGATTTCTCTTGGGTGTCTGTGTGGAAAATTCTAGCCACCCAAAATGTGAGAGTGGAAAATTATCCATTCTTATTCTTGAGTGTCATCTTCAGCCCAAATGAGAAATTTTTGGAACGCTGACTGTGAACGGTTTTAATATCGCTTGCAGACTTCAATATGCTGGAAGTCACCGACACTACCTCTAGTTTGACTCTGGCTTATATCGTGTCTATCGGCGAGCCGTCTGAGATCGCTCGCAGGCTTATCCCCGACCGTCTGAACTGGTCTGTTCTTTATTCGTAGTTTTTCTTGTAACCGACTGGTCTGCGGCAGATGCTTATGTGACTGCAACCACTCGATCGAGCGGAAAGCTTGCAAGAACTCACTCGCAGACCTCGATCGCCTGGAAGCCGCTATCTGTCATTGACAGAGGCAGACGTCTTTCACGATTATTGCATAAAATTTAAAGCCTCGGTCACACTTCACCGGATTGGACCAACGGACGAGAAACGGACGAGAACTGTCCATGGGTGGAGCTTTTCCAGGGAAGTTGGTGGGGCAAAAAGTCGTCAAACCCACAATGTCCGATTATAAAGTTGAATAAAATGCCACATTGAATCAATTCCTATCATTACAGACATATCATTTTGCATCAACCAGACGTTCCAAAGCTATTCAATGCGAAAAAAAGATTAATTTGCAAAGCAACAAAGTCTTAGAAATCAGCTAAAGTTGGTGGGGCAAAACGCTTATTGGTGGGGCAAAATACCAAGTTGGTGGGGCAGCCGCCCCACCAACTTGTATAGGAAGCTCCGCCCCTGGAACTGTCAGCGTCCGGTGATGTCCGTTTGTTTCCGTTGGACGTCCGTTTGTTATCCGTTAATATCCGTTCCATGTCCGGTGGTGTCCGGTTGAGCACACCGGACATACAGCAAAGACGTAGGTGGTGGATTTTTTTTTTTTAAAGTTGCGGGTCCACTCCACTATAGTCCACTTTTTACCCCAAGAGGATATTGCAAACAATAGTTTGAGTTTTTTTCACAACAATATGTTTCACCGATGGGTACTTTACAGCCTGAAAATGTACGATAGGATAAGATCTGCTAATTCAATTTGAAATGTGAAAAAATGTGAAAACTTAGATTTTTCGGAAATTTGCTGGTGGGCCAAATCTTTGAAGCTGGTGGGCCATTTCGGGTCACTGGTGGGCCATTTGGCCCACCAGTTAACATGTTAGCCGAGGCCCTGGTACGTACCGGGTTTGGCGCGATTTCTGCGGAAGGGACGGTTCACGGCGTACGTACCGGGTTTGGCGCGGTTTCTGCGGTCCTCCCTGAAGCCGGCCAGGTACGGAGAGCCGTGGGAAAACCGACCAGTCATCACACCCAGCGAGAACGTCTTGTCCGGCGGCTCCTCGGCGCTCTCCGCCGCCGCCGCCGGCGTGAGCACCGACATGGTCGTGCTGCCATCTGGCTGCCGCCGCAGGAAACCCAGCTGCGGAAGCCGGCCACTGCGTGTCAGTCGGGCCCGAATCCGAGGGAAAACTTGCTCAACTTCATTCAGAAAACAGTTATTTCATTCACAGCAACTGCAAGTCAGCTAAGCAGCCCCACACCCCCACCCCAGCCCCATGGGCCTATAACGCACCTGAGGAGCCTTCTTGCTCTTGGCGACCTTCTCTGCAGCCTTCCTAGCCGCCTCCTGAGCCTGCTTCAGGATCGCCGCCGCCTCCGCCTCCTCATCCACCGGCTCAGGAGCGCTAGACCAATCACAAACGAGCGAGGGAGTCGGTTAACCAATCACATAGCGGGAATACAATCAGCCAGCCAATGACAGGACAGCAGCTTACGCAGTCAGCCGATCACGGGCAATGCACCATGAGCGATGGCCCCGAACAGCAGTATTACGCCAATCACAAACGGCGAACGACCAGCGGTAACCAATCGCAGACCGTGTACAATCGGCAACCACCAATCACAGCGAGTAAGACACCATTGACACCGCTGTCACTGACAAGGTAAGCACACCTCAGCTAAAATCAGGTTGATGGTAACGAATGAAAATTTCGAACAATGCGGGTTTGGGGTACGGGGACCCGCAGTTGCTACTGTACAGCGACCCTGAGTAAATTGTCCCAGCACCCTTACAGGGAACAAGGATAAGCTGTCAGAGGGCACGCACAGAAAACCTCAGCTGCTCTTGTACAGGGACCGGCAGTCGATATCAATGTTATCGGTTGTTACTGGACAGGACAGACGTCTAGAGTTGGGGTTCGTGTATAGAAGCAACTGCGGGTCCCCGTACGAGAACACATGACAGGACGATGGCATGGCTCCCACAACGTACGTACGCAATGAGCCTGAACACACTGCTATCATACCAGGACGCGCTCAAACAAAACGGTCACCATATGTATACCGAAACAGCGGTCGGCTGAGATGGCGTACCGACTCATTCCGATCAGGGCAAACCAGTACATATATACACTAAACCTGACACTGAGCCTCAATAAGCATATCAATAGGCAAGACAAATTTTACGCAACCAGCTAACTACGAGTTGTGTTTTAATAGCCCGCCACCAGAATATACAGTAGAACAAACGCCACACCACAAACGCCCATACAGCTACAGCGGCCAGCGGTTAGTTTAAGCAAAGGTTAACCCACACACGGCACGGTATGGGCGGTGCTCGATGGTGTTAGTGATGGGACACGCGTATTCCGCCACTCGACTTCAAACAGTGCATCACAGAACAGTGCGGGGTGTGTAAGGTGCTGTAAACGTCGTCAAAAAGATATAACTTTGTTATATCCACAAACCACAACACGATTATTCAAACAAATCATTCACATGAAGTCCATCCAAAGTTCAATCCAGTCTTTGATGTCAAGTATCGCATTACCGTTGGAAAAAATATGCCAGGCTTACAAAAACGCGGTTTAGGAGAAGCTCACGGAGGAAAATTCATCGTTATAATGTGAAGATCGACGTCGAACGACATATAAAACCTTAGAAAACATCCGCCTTCTATCTGCAACCCATGAGGAGAAACTCCGGGGAAACTTTTTAACGTTTTTATGTTGATGACGAATGACGATAATTATTTGGGGTCTATGGCGTCTGGACTACGGAGCCCGGAGGTCACCACGCCCAGGAGCACTTCATCGTGTCATCACTCAGAAAAGCACACCCGAAAAACGCATACAAATTAAATAGACACAGCACACACAAACCTCTGTGCATCACTCACACAACCTTCCGCGTGCGCCTGTGAGCCCCAGATTCCGTGCAAAGCTCAAAGCGCGAGCAGCATGCGCCCGGGGTCGAACACGCGCCCCTACCTGGTATTCCCGGCGTGCTGTGCGGCGCCCGACAGCTGCTCTAACCTAACGTACGGCCGTTTGAAAACGAACCGACTGCCGGGCACACACACACGCACACAGGGTGATACGGTTAGAAGCCTACAGCATAGATATTCGGCAGAGTAGGCATGGTAGGCAGTAGGCACTAGGCAGCTAGCAGCAGAGGCAGAAAGATGCACCAGTTGGCCCGCGACCCATTCACAGAGCAGTTAAAATATTGGGCAATTGAGAGTTTGTTACGAGCGAGCGAGCGCAGCGAGCGAGCGAGTTCATACTGAATTAACCCGCGCCCTGCAGGGGGGGTGTTTGAACACCCCCCTTGTGGTTTTTCGCGAATATCTCAAAAACGGCGGCGCGGAGCGCCGCCGTTTTTGGTGCACCTTATCATACATCAATTCTACACATGTTGTGAAAATTTCAGACCAAGGTCATTCAAGGTCAGGTCACCAGGTCACTTGAAGTGACCTCAGCTCATAAAAAGTTTCAATGTCTGCCATAGCTACACCGAGTGACCGATCGCTTTGAAACTTTCAGCGATTGATAAGGGTAACAGTATCTATAAAATGTATATCTCGGAATTTTTATATCGGTGACCTAAGGTCAGGTCAATTTTGCAACCTCCCCATTATAAGTCAATGGGAGAAAATTGAAATGCGCCTCTTTTGTACGAAAGACATTATAAACACTCCCAAACACTGAATTACAAGTGGTTTAGACACACTGAACATGAAAATGGTGTCCGTGACTCCTGTTTATGCCCTGAGGTCATCTCAGGTCACGAATGGTGTCTAACAGTTTTTCGCAAATAACTTTTGATAGAGGCACGCTAGAGCGGTGAAAACGCCTTAGATGTGTTCAGCTCGACGATACGGATCGACTGATATGCAACATGACCTTTTCCGGTCAGGTCATGACCTTGACCTGAGGTCAAATTTTCAAGTTGACCTTTCAAGGTCAAGTTATAGTTCATTCGATGCGTCTTGACGAGAGGAACACGATGCTGGTAAAAATAAGCTCGTACAAGGCTTGGGTCAAAAGTTATTGCAGAAAAACTGTTTCCGAAAAAAAACGGCTATTTTTGCAGTTTTTGCCCCCTGCAGGCGAAACCGTTGACGCTAGGTCAAATATGAGAGAATTACTCAGAAAGGGCGTTAGTAGGGCTATCGAATGCGCTTTTCCGCGGCGCTGTAGCTCTATTGGTTCCCGAGTTAAGCGTTGGCTTCCTGGAAATTGTCGACATTCGACCTGAAAATCGGTGAAATTTTGCCTTCAATGACCTCTGGTGACCTGACCTTTGACCTGACCAAAAAAGTGAACGAAGTGATTTCGTCATTATTTTTGACGCGCTTTCGAACGCCGCCTTCCGCGTATCGCTACGTGGCCCAGGAGCCGAGTTAGAAGGGGGGGGTGTTCAAACACCCCCCCCCCCCCAGCAGGGCGTGGAAATCCAGGACCCCCAGCCGGGCGCGGGTTAACCCTATTCCTGGCGGGCTCCGCCGGGACAAGAAACTGGCGGGGGGGGGGGGGCGATTCGGCCCCCCCTTCAGATCTCAAAAACTACACATCGCAGCGACAAACGGTAAACGGCATCGGATACGCACGGTCAAGATCTACAATTTTTACTAAGGTCATTTTCAGGTCAGGTCAAAGATGACGTCACAGGGGTCGAAAAAGTCAAAATGGCGGCGCTAGATATGGAGAGAGTTTTTCTCGAATAACTTTCGAATTAGTCAAGATAGGAACAAACTAAGGGCATCATCGTGATCCTCTCGTCAATCCGCATCGAATGATATATATGTTGACCTCGAAAGGTCAAGGTCAAAGGTTGACCTCAGGTCACGTGACCTCGAGGTCATCATGTATATCATTCGATGCGTCTTGACGAGCTGAACACAATGAGACCATCCACGCGTCTGTATCTTGTTCATGTACGGAGTTATTGGCCAAAAACCTTTGGTGACCTTTGATGACGTCACATGACCTCACAGCTGCCCAACAGCAAAACAGACCTCAAGGTAGTGAAGGTTGATCGTATATGAAGTCATGTATGGTATATGGGGCCATTCCGACCCGTTTTAGTGGTAAAAACAGGGAGTTGATTTTTCCCCCATTGACTTATAATGGGGAGGTCGCGAAACTGACCTGACCTTAGGTCACCGATATCAAAATTCCGAGATATACAAATTGCACATACTGGTACCCTAACTAAAGCCTGAAGAGAAGAAATTGATCGGTCAAAAACTCTAGCTCTGGCGTGATTGCAAACTTTTCTGAGGTAGGGTCACCAAACCGCCTCTGGTGACCTGACCTGAGGTCAGATCAACTCAAAATTTTCAGACATGTTGCGTAGAAGCCTTTTAGGAAAAGTCAGAAAATTTGAGCTTCCTAGCTCAACGCGTTTGGGAGAAATAACCAAAATACCTCAGGGGGGGCTCCTGAGCCCCCCCCCCGCCAGGAATAGGGTTAAGGGAAAATCCTGAGTATGAGCGGCCGGCCGGCCGGCCGGCCGTGGGGACGCTCTTCAAAAGCTAATATCTTAGGAACGGGACATCCGATTGACAAGCGGTCTTCTTTACTGAATGTCGCTTGGACGTAAAAGTTCTGTGGTGTGATGGCCACCATGCGTTCTTGCCAACCACCGCACGTGGCGCGTGGTAAAGTTGGACATTTTTTAAGAACCCCAAAAATTGCAACCTCAATAACGGCACAACGCAAAGTGGGGATTTTTCCGATCTAGCACGTCTTTATTCGTAGAGGGCAAACCATAGGCAGTATTGTAGCCAGATTGTGCACAGATGTTGGCTGGTGTGTTCTGGTGAGAATGTTACCTGTACATAAATGTGCATAATTAACCCTCGCATGTGTAGGGGGGGGGGTCGGATGGACCCCCCCCCATGGTTTTTCGCGAATAACTCGCGTAAAAAGCGGCCGATCGCGACGAAACTTTCAGTACCCTCACATTGATCAATTTTACACCTACCCTGAAAATTTCATGACCCTGACCCAAATGACCTTTGACCTGTGACCTCTTTTCCGAGACCATGTTTGGCCGGAATCGCGATTCTGCGTATGTCGGCTCGCATTAGCCGCGCGTTTGCAAGCTTTTCGTGGTTTCAAACGTTCAAACATGTGATTTGATGTTGCTTCCATGCATTAGGGTGGGTGTCAAGGTCACCTGAAGGTCAGGTCAGGTCATTGACCTTTGGTGACCTCGGGTGACCTCGGTTCACTTTTTCGAGCTGTACATGTTTCTAGGCTAGTTTTTGGAGCTGAATTCGAATTTAGCAACCATTTGAACATTTACGAAGTAGTTTTGGTGCCTTCGTAACATGTTACGAAGCTGTCAGAGGCGGTTGACACGTACTACGAATACCCGTCACGATGCCTACTGGTTG